TTGTGTTTTTTTTTTGTGTTGTGGTTGTGTATGTGGAGACCAGGGTGTGTGTGTGTGTGTGTGTGTGTGTGTGTGTGTGTGTGTGTGTGTGTTATCTAAGTCCCACATATGAAATACTTGGTTTTCTGAATTTGGCTTGTTTAATTTAATGTGATCTCCTGTTCCATCAATTTTTATTCCAAATGACATAATTTCATTTTTATAAATGAATAAAATTGTGTAAGTATGTCACAGTTTCTTATCCACTCATTTGATGGTATACACTTAGGTTGATTCTCTAGCTTGGCTGTTGTAGTCTGTGCCATAGTAAACATTAGTGTGTAGATGTCTCTGTGATATGCTGAAGTAGATTCCTTCAAGTATGATCTCAGGAGTGATGTAACAGGATCATATAGTAGTTCTGTATTTAGACTTTTCAGAAACTTTGATAACGATTTTCATAGTAGCTGGATGATCTTCATTACTGCCAACGGTATATAACAGTTCTCTTTTCTCTAAATCTATATCAGTGTTTGTTGTGGCTTCCTCTCCCAATTCACAGGTTCTCTTCCCTCTTAGTTTCCTTCAGTGCTCAGAAGCTTGGTAATTTCAGGTAGTCCCATGTGTCAATTTTTGCTACAATTTCCTGAGATGTTGGAATCCTTTTCCAAAAAATCTGTGCATCTGTCTATGTCATGAAAGGTTTCCCCTATTAGTACTAACATTTCAGGTCTTAAAGTCTTTCATGCATTTTGAATCAATATTTCACCAAGTAGGTGATGGGAACCTGGCATATCCAGGTTTGAATATATATATTCAAAAATTAGATGGCTATAACTGGTTTACCACTGGGTCTCCTCTATTTCTTTGTTTTACATTCTGTGTTTTGGTTAGTACTATGTTGGTTTTGTCACTGTGGATCTGTAGTATAATTTGATGTCAGTTGTTGCGACATCTCTAGCATTGTTCTTTCCTGTTTTGGATTGCTTTGACTATCTGGGTCTTTTGTGCCTCCGTATGAACTTTAGTGTTGCCTTTTCTGGTTCATAGAAGAATGTCCTTGGAATCTTTAAGGAGATCACATTAAATCTGCAGGTTGCCTTTGGTAATATGGCAATTTCTATAATGTTGATTCTGCCTATCAATGAACACTGGAGATCTATCCATCTGGCTTGGAAAAGACAGTCAACACTTCACTGCATTGCTAAAGGTTGTTTGCTAAAATTTTAGTACTCTTTCAATAAGGCTTAATTTTTCTTTCTTATTATTACATTTTTATGTGTGCTTCTATTAGTTCTTAAAGAATTTCATCCATATCCTAAGTATCTTTTGCAGCTGTTATGGATGAGGTTACTTTCTGATTTCCTTCTTGCTGTTGACATCCAGAAAAGCTACTGTAATTTGTTTGTTGATTTTATGTCCTGCCGCTTTGCTGAAATCGTTCATCACATCCAAGAATTTTATGGTAGAGGTATTCAGGCACTTCAATATAGGAACATATCATTGGGAAGCAGGGGTAATTTGGCTTCTTCCTGTTTGTGCCTTTCATTTTTCATTTTTTTTTTTTTGTGATTACTCTGGCTATGACTTCAAGCACTGGACTGAGTAAGTGTTGAGAAAGCACATACTATTTCTCATTTTTACTTTCTAGTAGATTCAGTTTTCCCCCCACTTGATCCTGTACGGACTGTATGTTAGTCATATGTGGGTCTCTACAAACACCATAGCCATCAGAGTGTTGAGGCAGAGGAGGCAAAAAGGAAATTTGGTTCAACACTTGGTTCGACACAACTCAGTAGCTGATGTTGCTGCAAACTTTAAGAGCCTATAGTTTCTTTTAGGTGTATTTAAGCACAGAACAATTTAGAAAAAAACTCTCTGGTGATAATTAACCTAATCATGAGTGCACAACAAAGCTTAAGACATGGTTACATGAAAACTTGTACATGGTACAAGCAAACTGTTGAGTAAAATGGGTTCTATAGATAAACTAAGAAGGCAGGCTCCAGGTGAACAAGCTCCTGATAGTCTGGGGGAGGATAGCCATATAGATCCACTGAGTTAAATTAACCCAAGAGACTGGTCTAGGGGAGCTAGCAGAGCTTGCAGAGGTCACCAGACTGTTAACCCCATCAGTTCCCAGGTGGTTTCCTTAGGGCTTGTCCATGAGCACAAGAACCTA